CTTATTTATATAGTGAATATCATGGGCTTTTTTTTTTTCTTGATCATAGTGAATTGTAGTTTTTTTTTTTTTGTAGTTATTGCTCCAAATTTCCCAAATTAAAAGTATCAGAAAATACAACTTACAAATTGTCCTGGAACAACATAGAATACAAAGTTTTTGCGAACCAAACAATTTGATAGAGCTAACAATGTGTTCTGATTGTAATAAAAGAAGCTCCTACTGTTATCTCTTCAACCCACCCATAGCTTCAGACATTTATCTTTACCACCAGAGACTACTCTCTCACCGTCTGGACTCCAGTCCACTGCATAAACCTATCAACACACAAAAAGCATTAAAGCGACTGGCATTCCAAAAGATTGGCATGTTAAAGTGTTAATACCTCATCTTCATGACCAGGAAGATTTTGCTTTAACTTTCTGAGCCCAATATCCCATACCTGTGCAAGTGAGATTTAGAATGTACCACAGATTTGCGTACGATTTAGGACAAACAAGATTACCTTAAGAGTAGAGTCTCTACTACCACTTAAAAGCATCCTACTGTCCGGGGACCAACTGTGGAGGCAAAGCTAATATTTAGCCACTACAAGTAGGGAAGTATGTAAAGAGGAATTGAAAGCTCAAGTAATCCACCAGACCTGATCTGATAAACACGTCCAACATGGCCTCGCAAAGTTGTAATAAAGTCCCCTGTGATACCATCCCATATCCTGATAGATCGATCAAACGAAGCACTCGCAATCCACTGGCCATTAGGTGAGAAACACACATGGTTTACAGGCTGCGGATGACCCAACAAATGCTTTTTAGGTTTGTTGCTAACAGACTGTTCCCAAAGAACCACTGTGAAGTCATCAGAACCTGAGACCAATCTTTCACCGGACATTCCTTTAGCTTGGTTGTATCTTTTGAGTGCAGCCTAAGCAAGCAGATTCCAAGGGAGAGATCAGAAAGAGGGTTAGTGAATAAACTCAACTCATTTGAGGAGGAATGAGGGAACTCACCTTTCTAACTTCTTCAGGTGAAGAATATTGTTTACCAGTGTGGTCAAATGATCCTGTCCGGAGAACATAGTCTGTGCTCAATGAAAGTGAGTTCACCCAGTGTCCATGCTTCTGAAGTAACAGAGTATGCAGAGTTAAAACAAAAAAGCTATGCAAGGAGAATCTTCAAGAACCATCACAAGGGACGGGTCAATGGAGAACATGAGGAAAGGCATAAGCTATTCAGCTCCTGGCTAATTCTATCCTAAGACAGTTGGGATGGAAACGGCCAGTAACACAAAATCACAGAGGTGAAAATCAAAACTTCCAAAATAACCTTTTACCTTCAATTGTAACTTCAAACGTGGAGCTCCCTCCTGAGAAACGTCCCACAACATTATTGTACAATCTTGAGAACTGCCAAACAAAAGACAGATACTTGAATAGCAAGCAAGAAGTGAACAACAGAATGAATTGGCATTGATACGAGTACTGACGTAATTACAAAATAAACAGATACTGCAAATGAGCCATTAGAAGCCGGATATTAGAAACATACCCTGTATATATGATTCCATCCCCACCCCATCTGACACAAGTAACACAACTTGTATGTCCAGTGAGAGGCTACACATTTCCTGAGTGTAATGTCCCATATCCTAGCATCCCCATCCTTGCTAGAAGTAACAAACCGACGGCATGGGTAGTTAAGGTGAACTGGTTCCCATGAGATACTAGTAATCCATTTCTTGTGACCCTGGGAGATGTTAATCGATAAATGGAGATTCGCCATAACATTTCACTAGATAGTCATCACCATCAAATCAAAAGAAGTTACCATAAGGGGCTTGCCATCTAGCTCTCCGGTTTTTGGAATCCAACAACAGACTTCACCAGCTTTACTACCACTCACAAGGTGCTTACCATCTGGAGACCATGCGATGCACATAACCCAATTCCTGTGCCCTGAAAATAGAGGACATTAATATACGCATTAGAAAACAGGATGGTCGATGGAGGGAAGCAGAAACAAGTAATGATGCTGCCGAGGGAAAAAGGAGAAGGCAAAATATTAGTAGGATTTTCAAACCTCTGCATGTAAACATTGGCGTTTGAGTGTTGAGGTCCCACAGACGGACAGTAGTATCACCTGAGCCACTTGCTAACTGGTTACCATCAGGACTAAATGAAACACACAGAACAGAATCCTCATGACCTAATAATGTTTAAGACAAACCATAAAGAATAAGCATATAAATCTATGAAGCTTAAAAGTGTAGAGAGAAACAAGCAAAGTTTAAGTTTTGACATATGTATACCAGCAATGGTAGCAGAAATACGACTAATTGGTCGAGTTCGGAAAACAGCTTGTTGTCGATACACTATCATCAAAATCTTCTCCATAGACACTGAAATTTGTCACAAAAAAATAAATAATTATCCAGAGATGATATTGTGTTTTATTATACTAATTCATAGTGAAGAAACAAAACAGATTTGCACGGTTACCATTTCTTTGCTCTATGTAAGTTCCAATGGGCACAAGAAGTTCCTCGCCAAATACATAGAAAGAATAGGGCAACTTCTCCTCCTGAAATACCCAAATTGCATCAAACCATATCAACTTCAACGCACAATTAACTCTGAACGTAAACAGGGTAAATATAAAATTTGGCAGCTTAGGTGCAACCAAAGAAGCAGCAATATTTAAGGTAAAAACAGAAATCGCTCCTTTATTCTTAAACAAATTAGACAAGACAGAAAATTTCTTACATTGTTGAGAAATCTATTGGCTAGCTGGGTAAGCTGCAAACGACCTGTTTGGTGAGGGATATACATAGAGTCACCTAAAGGAATTCCTTCGGTATCTATGAACCGACACAGCACAGTCTTCC